CCAATAACTTCATATCTCGCACCTCTCGCCCGTGGAACTCCTTTCCATATTCTTGTTTCCCTGACAGCTATAATCTCCAACTATTCAAATGTAATGTCAATCGACATCTCCAGTTGCCTTGATCTATCCACTATCCTTCTCCTCATCCTTTCCTCTATCACTTCTATCTGCTTTCGCTCCAAATCTTCTGTAACCCCTTGCGTACTAGTGGCTTCCCGCCTTGCTTGGGGTGAATCAATTAAAAAAAAACCCCAAAGGCAATGAAATGAGGAACTTTTGTACTTTAAAAAAGGATAACATTGAGGTTATATGCATATCAAAAAATCTTTCTCAATATTTAGCTCGCACTTCATCGTCTTTGCGGCTTCTCTCACCTGGATTATATTTATAAGGAGGCAGTTTATGTTACTACCAGGATCATTACGAGAATTCTCTCCCCAAAATAAAAATAATTGTTCACACACACGCTACGAAGCATAGAAATATTCTTCCAACAAAGTTCTTCACTTTAGAATAAAAATTGTTGCGACTAGTCCCTGAAAGGAAAGACAGAAGAAGCAAGTCATGTTTTCCTGACGTGACGTCCAGGCATAGAAATATTCCTCAAACAAGGCATAACAAAATCATTACCTTTAGAATGAGTATTGCAGCAACTGGTCCCCGAAAGGAATGCTAGAAGAAACAAATCATGTCTTCATGGTGTGAAGTCTGGTGCGGAGAAAAACGTTACACATCCTCGTCCTGTTACAGCCAGATAGTGAAAGAGAAAGAATTCATCTTTTCACTATCAAAGAATTATCGCCAATTGGGGTTAACTGTTTTCATCTGCCAAAATCAGATATTGGTACGTGCGTGTGTGACATCCGTTAATCCCGACAAAAATGTCGTCAAATCATATATGTGAAATATCTCGTCAGTAGTTCTGGGACTATTATTTTTATGAAAATGTAATGGCTGCAAATAAGCAATTTTTTAAAAGGTTTTAAACAATCTTTTCGTTTATTTTCTGTTTTGGTCTTAAACGATGGAAGACATGAGTAAAAATTGTACGTAACTTACGAAATAATTTGGTAATCTCATCAGATTATCACACCTGCATAACATTCTACAAATTAAAACATACAGGAAAACTATATGAAAAAATTAACATCATTTGAACACTGCCTTTCATATTTAGGGTTAGTAAATATTCGTTGTTGAGGCTCTTTATAATCAAAACCAGTACTCAGTTTTCTGTCTGATCTAACAAAGGTTAGAACAAATGTTCGTAACGTTTTTCAATACGCGGCGTTTGAACATGTGACTGAAATTTATGCAATATATACATATTCTGAAAAGTGATATTTTAACGATTTCTTCTATACGATTTTATGTGTGAGTTGTAAATTTTAACTTTTTGAACGTTAATACAGAAAATAGAAGAAAATGAGTTGATTGTTTCATTCAACGCTTTTTTTATATCCAGCAAAGAAAATTCGCCGTACAAACAACAAAAAAGATATGTACCGTTTATGGAGTTGGTGCCACTACTGCGAGTAATGTTCGTAAGTAGTTCGCTAGTTTCAGAAGTAGATATTTTGCTCTGATAGGTTTAACATGTTACGACAGGTTTGCAATTGTTGATGATGGCTAAATGGAAACGCCGATTAAAAATAATTCAGGGTACATGATACAGGGCACCGCAAAGATACTCTATATATCTCATATGAGCGTTGTAAAAGATATCTGAAAAAAAAAAATGGATACGTGAATACGACGTTTGGCTGCCACACGATTTACCGAAAAAATTTAATAGATTGCATCACTATTTTTTTCTTTGTTGAAACGCAACAAAATCAACCAATTTTTAAAAGAACAATGACAAACGATGAAAAAATGTAAACAACCTTCTGAAACCCGGAATATGTTTTGGCCTAAAATAATCCACAAAGAGTTGATAAGTCGAAAAAAAAATCAATCAATTAAGAGAGAGAAAAAGAGTACGAGACAAGAAGTGTTAATAATCGGACACAGACTTATTTGCGTGAGATAACTCATTTGTCCATGAAGATTTATGCTTAGACACGCTCTGATTCTTTGTAAACAAATCGACATTTACATTTTATTCAAAGTTAAGCTATAAAACTCCGCCTGCATCTGTGTATATGTATTTTCAGCCGTGAGTCATTCTTAAAAATGTGTGTATCAAATATTTCAGGTCTCAAATATTTGTCTTGATATCGTTATTTTTATCACAGTTCCCCAATCTTTTCAGATATTACACTTCGAAGGAAATTTCTGTGTTAAACGTTTTGGCTATTAACTGCTGCATAGCAATAGAATAGCGAGTGGCCTGCGATGTTTCGTCTGTGGAAAAGGAGTTGTAAGGTGGAAAACAATTCATCACCCAGAAGGCCACGTAGGCGCTTTTGAATATCAAGACTGGAAAGTGAGGAGTGGGCAGCTCCAGTCCAGATAGGGAAGCAGTACTCCATTTTCGGTCTGATCTGGCTCACGTAAAGATAGAGCATATTAGGAGGAGTCTGGTACTTACTGAAACGGTACAAGGAACTGAACATTTTTCCAACGATAGATCGTATATATGAGTTCCACTTGATAACTGAGTGCAATACTTTGAGGGTAGGAAAAGCATAGTAGAAAACTGTAATAAAAATAGCAAATTTGCAGAAAATCTTCTTCGAGTCCTTTTCATTCTATATGGATCTATATAGAACAAGCAGACCCCTGGAGCATGTATCTTCTTCGTCATTGTCGTCTTCGATGGCTGGGTCCCGAAGTTTAACCGACCAGCCGGTCGCTCGACTTCAGACTGGACTCCCTGCTTCCTCTTGAGGCGCAGCATTTATTACGTATGGAATAGTCCATTATGTTATTATGGGTAAGGTCCCATAACAAAAGATAAAGAGAAGCGATATCACAGCGGTGGGAAAGTGACCAAAGTTGAAATGCCAAGTCAGGACCGATAACATTACAGACCATTGCGTTCTATATTAGACGACCATTCATAATGTAGATAGAGGAGAGAACTAGAGGCCCGTTTTGAATAACAGATACATTTTAGTTTCAGTTTTAGTTTGTGCTAGCTATTATTAATTACGGAATCTAAAGAAAACCAAAGCAACGTCTATAATGAAATTTAACAGATAGAAAAAGAAACGAATGAATAAGAGAGGAAATTCTAGAAATGAAAAAACGACAGCGAACAATGTCAAGGAATGAAAAAATACTAAACACTAAACACAGAAATTAAAAACAAATGTAGACAGGCTAAAAAGAAATAGATCAATGAAAAGTGCGCAGAAATAGAGATATTAAGCAACACAAATAGAGCGACTATGCATAACAGAAATGCTCTCAACCTTAGACAATTTCGGCATCGATAATTACCAAAGTAATAAACGAAATATACAACAGTGGCGACACACCATAGGAACTGTCAACAACCATCTTCGTAACATTACCTAAGAGACCAGGTGCAAATGAATGTGAAATCCACAGGACTATCAGTTTAATGAGCCACATAACCAAACTAATGATACGAATCCTGATGAATAAAGCGTGAAACAGAATTAGACCAGAAATAAGACAAGAACAGTGCAGCTTTGTCAAGCACTCCGGAACAAGAAATGCGATATTCATGATCAGAATGATATCAAAGAGATCACTACAAATGCAGAATGATGTACATTTATGTGTTATAGATTACGCAAAAGCATTTGACGAGGTACGGCACAATGATCTATTTGAACTTCTAGGAATACACTAGATCTATATTTGGAAGAGATGTTAATCCAGAACTTATACAGGGAGCAAATCGCCTGCAAACGGATAAAAAATTCAGTAGCTACACAAAAACAGAAAGAGGCGTGAGACAAGGACATGTCTTCTCCTGAGGTTTATTTAACCTCTACAGCGACGCTGCCCTAACGGAACTGGAGATGCTACCAGAATTTATTATCAGTGGGCGTAATCTTAACAATATAAGATACGCAGATGATACTGTGTTGATGGCCGACTCGGAAAGAAAACTACATGACCTCCTAGACAGGGCAAAAGAGAAAGCGAAAAAAAGGACTAACCATCAACTTCAAGAATACAGAAAGTATGGTCATCAGCAAGAGAAAAAAGCCCAAGATGCAAGTTACAAATCGGAGATATTAACATCAAGCATGTGCAGAAATATCTGGGAAGCATTTTAACAGAAGATGGAAATACGACCGAAGAGATCCGAACACACATTGGCTTAGCGAAAGAAGCATTCCAAAAGCTATACAAGATTCTGAGAAACGGAAAAATTTCGTTAGAAACAAAGAAAAGAGTGATGGATTGTTATGTGATACCCATACTCATATGCGGTAGTGAATATTAGACAACTTCTCCATGGACGAAAAAAAAAGTAGAGGCAGCAGAAATGTGGTTCTACAAAATTACACTGAAAATTCCATGAACGGAGCGAGTAAAGAAACAAGGAAGTTTGAAAGATAATGGCAGCAAAAAGAAAACTTATTCTCAAAATCAGATGAAAATAGTTGAAATTCTTTTGACACATAATGAGGAGGCGTGGAAATTGGAAATATTAACCCTCCCGGGCAATAGAGATAGAGGGAGGTAGCGAGCCAGTGACGAGTTTGTGTGAATGGATGGCGAAATGGGGGCGGGGCTCTAGCAAAGGGAGAAAACTGATAAGAGACGCATGAGAAATTTGTGGAGAGTCATGATCGTCTATGTCCTGAAGGAATGTTGCACAAAGAAAAAGAATAAGATTAAAATAATGATGATGATGATGATGATGATAAAGAAGGAGAAGAAGTATTTCTTTCGTTTTAATTTCGTTTGCATTTTAGTGCAACCCTTAGACTATCATTTTATGGGTTTTAGTAAGCAATCGTCTTTATTACAGCCAAGCTTAGATTCATATCACTGAGTTCTAATTACAGTTCATTATGTTTATCCGCACAAACACCTTTGGAAAAAATATGAATCGAGTACAGTAGATGTTTATGTTTATCTCTCTCAGATGCGTTAGAGTCGGTGTTAATCTGTTTAATTTTTTGTCGCTTATTTATCATTTTGATTTGTTCTTTGTGTGATAATTACGATGAAACTGAGAATGCTATAGCATCTTTAAAACTGATTTGTTTTTTACGGCTTTTGTATGTTATTTAAAACTAGAAAATACTTTTAGATTGTAAGAGTTTTGGGTAGATAATAATGATTTACTGATACAATTCCTACTAATTAACCCATAGCTGTGGGAGAAGTGGTAGATTCATACCTTTTCCAAGAAGGCATTTCCGCGCAAGAGAATATAAAGAACCTGACTGAAATTAAAACTCGGCTCTCCGATTTTCTATTCTGAGCTGTTATCCATTACACCAGCCACAACATCCAAGCTTACAGAATCTAATATTTCCAGGTCACTCATCTAGGTATTCACCAAACTCGACGTTGCTTAATTTTGGTGATCGTTCTAGAACTGTAAATCATTTTTAAAGGGAATTATATAACAGTATAAGTGGAGGTACTTAAAATATCTTATCAACTGAAGAAGAGATCTACAAAAAATTCTGATGTTTATTCATTTATATTTATAATTTTGGAAAATAAGTAGAACAGAAATTTTCAGATCCTCTATAATACTATTTCTGAACCAGCGTAGACATAGATTAGCGTACAATATTACCGATTTCTTTGATGTGTTTTTATTATATTGTGTGTTGGAGGAGTCTTTTAGCTTATGCAGAGAATCCGATGGAAACCTATGAGAAATCATTTATTTCCATTGAGTAACAATTTCTTATTTTCTCCCAAAACAGACAAACACAATCAGATAACAATATTATAATAATGAAGTACTGAATGTCTTAAGTAATACATCTTTATGTCTCTGTGATATCTGAGAGAATCTAGGGAAAGTTTTGATAAGGTCCTTATAAAGTAGATATATATTATGTTATTGTCAGAATTAGGAGGCACGGTGGAGTAATGGAGTAATGGATAGCGGCTTGGATTGAGGAATCGGAGAGCCGAGGTCGAATCCATTACATTCACTAATTACATACTAATACCCTTGGAAAAGGTATGAATCCTCTTCTCCCTCCACTTATGGGTAAATAGCAGGTTCTGTAGCCTTGGATGGAGAAGGACAACTCTGAATTCAAAACCTGCGGAGGGTCGTTTGGGGACCTTGTAGCAAAAACTGTGGATGGTTCCGCACAAAACTTTCACCATTATAATCAAATTTTATGTGCTGGTGTCTGGCTGTCGGTTTCCTAGGAACTGATCTGACCCTCATACGTCGAATTCGACGGGAGAGTCGTGTATATTTATATATATATATATATCTTAAATCCAACAACGATCACAGGTGACCCTCTCAGAAAATTGCGAAAAATTCATAGGTGTTCTTTAACTATATTTATTGATAAATCCCAAATATTAGATCTGTAAGTTTTAAATTTCACTGTATTTTTGCGTTTTATAAAATAAAGCTTTTAATGAACTTCTGATATAGCTCCAGGGATATTTATATGCACAGATCTGAAACTTGGTGACAATAGTTAATATTTACTGTAGATTACAAAAATATAACAGGTGGGTCTTATGTACTTGTATTTTTATAATGACCTAGTAATGGCCGAACGCTGTCCACTTTCAGTGTTTCTCATTTACAAAGTATGTCAGATACAGCATATCAATCTGTTATGGCTTCATGAAAACACATACACACACGCTCGCGCTTGCACGCGCATACACATCTAAGTGTATTTTCATACATACAGAGTGCGGTAGAAATACCTCCAGCATATATCTCCCAGAAATAACTCTTACTGTCTTGCCATGATGTGGGAGCTATTTCTGCCGCACCCAGTATATGTGTGTGTGAGTGTTTGTGTATGAGTGTGTATTTGTTTTCATGAAGCCACAAATGATTAATTTATAATCATTAAATTGATGAACATTATCTGTGTTATTTTTTGTCAATATTTTTAAACTGATTCCGACATACACACACACATATAAACACATCTACATACACATCTATCTACATATACATACATTCATATACATATATATACATATATACGCATACATATACATATATCTATATACATACATACATGCATACACATACATATACATATATACACTCCTACATATATACACATATATACACATACATCTGTTTTCTTTTTGAATTTGTAGGTCTGATGAATTGGATCGTATTTACGATTCCAATGGAATAAATTATGACCATGGAATATTAGTGTTTAAGCCTTTTTATTATATCCTTCCTCTGTCCTGGACATTGAGTTCCACCTGGATTCTATCCTCTTGGAATTATTTTTTCATGCAAATATATATGTATGTATGTGTATGTATGTATGTATGTATGTATATATATATATATATATATATATATATATATATATTTATATATGTATGTGTATATTTACCACTAACATTATCAATATATTGCTCCTTACCTTTACAAGTTGAGCTCTCCTTGGTATACTTCCAGTTAAACTGCTTTTATTCCAACCTATTCAGATGGAGATGGAAAAATTTACTCCGGATTATTCCTTGAAAAACATTCCTTAGCCTTCGTTGCACCTTTTCTCTGTCTGCCTTACAGACAGAATCATTGACCTTATTAAAAGAATGAGGTGGAAAACATTTTTCTCTCGTAATCCCCAAAATGACCAAGAACGAAATCCTGAAACATATAATCTGAAATCCCAGAAAAGTCCACCGTGTAACAAGCTACTTGTACCGTTCGAAGGCAATTTGATCGATTTAATTAAAAAGATTAAGTTCAAGAATTATTCTAACTACTTCCAAGCTATAATTGGTAGAGACATCAAAAGCGTAAAGAACTCCAATAAATTATGGATTAAAGCCGACAAATTCAAAAATTTCTATAAAATTAAACCCTCTGAATATGACAAACTCGTCACTGACAAAATTACCAACTCTTATGAAAAAGACAAAGACAATAGCACCTTATCATCTATCAATGAAGACATCTGCAAATTTGCTAACAAATGTGGAGTTGCTGACAGAATGGGCAAATTTAATATGAAAGATGCATACATTCTCTTCAAAGATCATAAGCCGAACTTTATCAATAGCTTGCAGTCCCGTCTAATTAATCCCTCCAAATCTGAGTTGGGATTAATTTCCAAGAGTATTATCAAGAAAATAACATCATGTGTCCTGGATAAATACCCAGTCAACCTTTGGAAAGGCTAGGCTGAGACAATTAAATGGTTCCGAAAGATACATAAGAAGAGCCACTTTCATCCAATTTGACATCTTGGATTTTTACCCTTCTATTTCGGAGGAACTATTAATTAAAAGCCTTAATTTTGCTAAAGGATATACCGAAATAACGGATAATGATCTGGACATTATTTTAGCATCAAGAAGATCAATACTTACATACAATGACGCTTCTTGGGTGATGAAGAATAGTGAAAGTTTCGATGTAACGATGGGGGGTTTCGATTCTGCCCATATTGCAGATTTAGTGGGCATATATATTCTAGACACCTTGAGTAGAGTAGTTAGCCTTAACCAAATCGGAATTTATAGAGATGACGACCTAATCATTGTCCCTAATAGCAATAGTCCCTTGACTTCCAGCTTACATAAGAAGATAATTAGGGCCTTCAAATACCTAGGCCTTAAAATTGAAATATCTTCTAACGTGAAATAGTCAACTTTTTGGATATTACACTCAACCTATCGAATGATACCTTTAAACCCTTCCATAAAGTTGATCAAACACCCCTATACATCAACGTCCACTCTAACCACCCTAAACCTGTGATAAATCACATCACCAAAACTGTGAATACGAGAATAAATAGAATAAATCTTTAACGATAATAAAATTATATACAATCAGGCCCTCAAAAATCGTGGTTTTAGACAAGAATTAAACTTTAACGGAGAACTTGTAAATCAGAATAATAATAGAACTAAAAACAGAAAGAGGAAGGTAATATGGTTTAACCCACCATATTGCAGGCTGTCTAACATTGATATAGGAAGTTTTCTTTCTGAGATTAATTGATAAACACTTTCATCCACTACGTAAAATTTCAATAGGAAGACACTGAAAATTAGTTACTCATGCGTTAGAAATATGGAAAAAAATCTTCCCATAATTGTGGAATACTTAGAAACTACCATAGTAAGCTGCAATTGTAGGAATAAAGACCATTGTCCAATCGGGAGTAAATGTAAGTATGAAAATGTAGTATACGAGACAACAATCTTCCCCGAGGAAAATATAAACCAGAAAAATAGATATATAGGTATAACCGCCGGTGATTGGAAGCAGCGTCTATACAACCATAGACGCTCTTTTAGATATAGATACCTCAGAAATCAAACTTCCTTATCCAAACACTACTGGGATCTGGTGGATAAGGGATTAACCCCACTTTTAGAATGGAGATACTTATCAAGAGCTAGAACTCCTATTAACTTCCGCGATCGGTGTGATCTGTGCATGGCGGAAAAAAATTTTTATTATTAAAGATAAGAATCAAGATGAGTTGCTAAATCTTCGTAATGGGATATTTTCTAAATGTAGACATAGGAAACGATTCAAAACATAAACACCGTTTTATAACATGTTGTCACTTATGTCAGTTCCATCTTGGTTCAATAACATCGGGCATGACATTGTAATGAAATGACTATTATGTTTATCTATATATATCATTGTGCATGTTTATGTGATGCGCTATGTATATAATTTTTTTAGACAAAATTTTTTAAATTTTACTTTTTTAAATTTTACATTTTGATTTATATGGGTATGTATATGTGCGTACGTGTGTGTATGTGTGTATATGTGTATATATGTAGGGGTGTATATATGTATATGTATGTGTATGCATGTATATATATGTATATGTATGCGTATATATGTATATATATGTATATATATATATATATGGATGTATGTATATGTAGGTAGATGTGTATGTAGATGTGTTTATATGTGTGTATGTATGTTTGGTATGTATGTATTCATATATATCTGTATATTGGTGTATATGTATGTATGTATGTATGTATAGTTAGACGGATAGATAAAGGGATACATTGTTTATTTGTTTAGATGGGTGTATGTAATTGTATGGAGATGTAAGGTTTTATGTATATATGTTTATGTGCACGTATGTGTATGTCCATATGTATATGTGCGTAAATGTATATATATCTGGGAGTGGATGTGTATCGATGTATATGTATGCATGTGTGTGTATGTTTATGAAGGTATATGTATATATATATGTATATGTATGTGTATGTGTATGTATATGCATATATATATATATATATATGTATATGAGTATATATATATATATGTACATGCGTATATGTATGTGTATGCGTGTACACGCCTATATGTATATATTTACGTTGTATGTATGTATGTACGTGTAAATGCAAATATGTTGTTGTGTATGTGTGTATACACATGTGTTTTTGAACATAGAAATATAGGTCCTTGCTAGATTAGATAATCGTTATATTTGTTTTTTATATGTTTATATATGATTTGTAACCTGTAGTCGATATTAATTTTGCCAAATTTTCTTAATTACACAGCGACACTTTTATAAATGCCCTTCGGTTTTAGTACCCCCCCGCCCTATCTCTCTCCCCCACCCCTTTTCTTTTCTTTTCCTCTCCTTCCCTCTTCTTCTGATTTTTAAGATTAGATCGTCTATTGTGTGTGTATGTCACCACAAAATGTATCCTTTCCGGTTACATTTTTAATGTATTAGACATCCGACAACATTCATATTTATCTCACTTAAACCATATTTGACTCCCCTCTTTAAAACTTCTCTCTGTTAGATTTTAATCCCCCCCTTCATCTTTAGACCTTCCTGCTCTTCTCCTGTTCTTCTCTCGTATGTTACCCCTCTCTCTATAGCTCTAACATTCGTCCCACACTCTCATACTTACACTCTTACTAAATTTTATTTTTTATTCCCGGAGTTGTTTTTTTCTGTTTTCTTTTTAAATCTATCTATCTATCTATCTATCTATCTATCTATCTATCTATCTATCTATCCCGTTAACGACGAAATTGTTTGTACACCTATCAATTTTGAATATTTTTATCCATTTCTCAAAATCTAATGCTTGTATGATGCCATGTTTTTATATGTTAGTAAGCACAAAAAAAGAAATAAACTCAGTTTTCAGAACAATATGTTAAATACAGCAAATTTGACAGGCGAATTATGCAAAAAAGGAAAAGACAAAATTATTCGTACAGTAGAAAATATCGTTTTAAATTGATTGATTGATGTAAGTATAAGTAATTTACATAATTATTTTATGGGTGAAACCTTCGAGACTATTTATTCAGTAGATTATTTATGATAATTCCAGCAAAAATATCATGTGTTGCAAAGACAAAGGAGCTTAGCGTTGACTTGAGACAGATAATTATTAACTTACAAGTTGGGAAATATTTGCAGCACAAATTTCAAACCAGTCAGCTATGCCTAGATCTATGGTACAGTTCGTTATAAGGAAGATTAAACACTTTGGCACGACAGAGAATTTGCATGAGCGTGGAAGAAAACACAAATTGTCACCGAGAACTGCACGAAAACTGTGTCGCGTGTTTAATAAACCCAAGAGTTGTTTTGAAAGACATCACCAAAAGTTTGGATACGATGTGTATCAGTGAAAGTACTCGCACAATACAACGTTGTTTAAATAGAAATGGGTTGTATGGAAACCGATCACGATGAGTCCCGCTTTACAAACCATGTTACATTATTGTTCGGTTTAATTTTGCCAAAACGTTCTTGGACAAAGACAATTGCATTTGGGAACAAGTCTAACACTTTCGCCCCGGCCCTCAACTTCCGGCGTCTTACTCTCGGGGTTGAGGTGTCTACTCGGTCCTAACCGAACTTAAGGAAGTGACCATAGGTCCCTTGAGCATCCGTAGATTATTCGACCGGTTCGTTGGTTTAATCCTGCTTCCTGTCCACTTTGTGATTTGTTTGATCCAGAAAACAGAAGTGATGTCCGTCCATTCACGGTCGACTGAAGATGTAGACACAGCTGGGGAGTCTGCGCTAAGAAATTTAGAATGCAGCAAAAAAAAAAAATTAATATCTGCAGAAAGTCGAACAAACATCGATTCAATGGTTGAATTGGTAATGTCCTCCATATAGCAGCAAAGAACAGTAGAGAATAGAAACGGGTTACAGAAAAGAAAAGCAAAAAGAAACTCATACACTGGATTCTAGACACACACACACACACAGAGAGAGAGAGAGAGAGAGAGAGAGAGAGAGAGAGAGAGAGAGAGAGAGAGAGTGTATGTGATTATCTTGTTGTTAAATCGTCTCAGAACGATATATGACTCTTGTGATGGAGGGATAAAGATTTCTGTGCGGGGCTTAAAGTTATAGTGGTGTTCCTCCTCCCAACACTCGCCCGGGCCAATTCTCTCATCTCTCTTCAAGAATTTTCTCCAGTCTGACTTTTCAGCATAACTACGAGTTTATATAGATAAACCCGGCTGATTATACTGAACCTCGGCCCTACTACTTCGCACGCGATTATCACGGGGTTCTGGCTGCTTCAACCAAAATCATGTGAATTCCAAAGTTCCTTCTAGCTTACTCAGCTCTATTTCAATTTTTAATCGATAAAAATTATTTCGACCATTTCCATTGTCTCCTGATGACCCAGATTCAATGGGTACAACTTCTGACCTAGATCAGATTTCCTCATCAGTAAACAAAATGCTCTGATTTAATTTCGCTATTCAAATCTACTCCAGTTTCACTAAAAAAATGATACGTGTGTGTGTGTGTTTCCTAGACTCTCTCTCTCTCTCTTTACTCTCTGTCACAACAAGTACTATGGAGTGATGAACGAAAATTGAGGTCTTTGGACATAATGATGAAACAGAAGATTGGACACAAGAAAGGTGAGGCTATCCTTCCAAAGAACACAGTGGCAACATTAAAACATGGAGGCGGATCAATGATGTTTTGGGGTTGTTTTAGCTCAAAGTTGACTGGTCAATTAATTGCAATAAGAGGAATAATGAAATCTGCAGACTATATCAACATTCTGGATGAAAATCTACAACCATCAGCGCAAAATCTTCATCTAGGTCGTCGATTTAGTTTCCAGCAAAATGATGATCCAAAACATACGTTTAAATCAGTGACTGCGTGGCTTCAGAAAAAGAAGTTTACATTTCTGCCATGGCCTTCAATCAGTCCTGGCTTGAATCCTATTGAAAATCTATGGCAAGAATTGAAAGTTAGAATAAATCGTCGGTCACCAAAAAACCTTCAGGAATTAAAACGTGTAACCATTGAAGAATGGAAGAAAATCCCAGAAAAGACTTCTTCAAATTTCATCAAAAGCTTTAGAAAACGATTGCAACAAGTTGTAAAGATGAGAGGCTATGCTATTGGCTATTAATATTGTGAAAATACTTTTGTACTGTTCATACTGTACGAATAATTTTGTCTTTTCCTATTTTGCATAATTCGCCTGTCAAATTTGTTGTATTTAACCTATTGTTCTGAAAATAAAGTTTTATATTCCTTCTTTTGTGCTTATTAACATATAAAATACTGGCATCATACAGGTATTAGATTATGAGAAATGGATAAAAATATTCAAAATTGATAAGTGTACGAATAATTTCGTCGTTGACTGTATACTGACATGGCCCTCAATGTTTAATGCTAAATTAGAGGTAACAATCAATTTATTAAGGGACACGCTTTCTTTGTGTTTCCTCTTTTTTATTCCTTTTTTTCTTTCTTTACTTTCTGTCTAAACTGAGTTCTCTCTCGACTCAGAAATGACGGGAAAGAATGTGTCGCTTGACAACTAGACAAATTGACCTCCTAAGCGAGTAAGTAAAAGTCGATCACCTAAGCCCACGTGACATACGCTACCAAGTGGGATTTTTGAATTGTAATTTCAGTCTGACCACGACAGGTCGCGAGTAAATCGACTCTCATCGTTCGCTCATTAGAAATGCGCCTAAGAACTTATTCTATTACTTGTTGTGTAAGAAATGAGGAGGTATTATTCCCGAAGACCGTGCATTTATTCGACTACTTGATGTGTAGAGAATAAGAGAATATTATACCTGAAGATATCATCCTAATTTCATCGTGGATGTAATCCGATTATCAGAGATAAAAAGAAGTACACGTATCATTCCAGAGTCCTCGAGCTTACATTGCGGAAAGAAGAACCGGCATTTATTTGGACATTTTAAAGAGATTCTATCTATTTGCTATTATGAACATTTGAACTTACAAATTCATGAAACACGAATGCTTGAACACCCAGTATCAGATAAGAGTCTTTTATTGATTTTAGGTCTCTTATCTAATACTTTTTTCCATATTCTGTTGTTTTGTTATATAAAATTATTTACAAACGTTAACCTTGTGTTCGTTCTTTACCTGTGTTGTGTATTCCTATCTGAACGAACCCATCTCCATTTTTTTGAACCCGGGGTTCATATCTCTATATCTTGCAAATTCGTAACGATATATATATATATATATATATATATAATGTTTTATCGATAAAAATGTTATTAGTCTGAAAAAGTTTTTTCGAAGGACGTGTAATATGGGATTTTTTCTATTGCGTCATTCTGCCACTCCTAGTATATATATATATATATATATATATATATATATATATATATATATATATATATATATATTATATTTTTTTAATTCTAATACAGGTTCTTTAACCATGAATACAAAATGCAAAAATGATTCAAACCAGTTTTTTACAGTTGCGGTAAACTGAGCTGCATTCTAAATGTACTCATTTTGAAAAATCCTATTTTGAAATCACATTGGGAGGTCAAGCTAAAAGTAAAGTCCCACATATATGTAGAACGTGCGTTGACTGACTAGCCTATAAGGTAAGCTCAAATTTTGTTGCCACTTCTTCGTATAAAACATGGATTGATGAAAAAAAAAGTTCATAGTTTGTTTTCACAGAGTAATTTCAAGTCAGTGATATAGAATTTGGTGACAGAATTTTTTTCTCTTTCTGATTGCATGTCGCCTCATCTGTTTGCATCTTCTGATACAAAAATCTTGTCTCTTTTAGTCTGTGGTTGAGACTTGAGGGCATCTCGCATTACACGAAACAAACGCAAAACAAAATAATAATAATAATAATGATAAAAATTTCATTTTTGTTTTTCTACCATGCATATTAACTGTGATGTGAAATGGAAGCCAGTTAGCATATTTTCACTAGTCACATATTGAATGTGAAAGAGCCACGCTTGACTCGCCAGCCAGGTGCAATATGGCCATTTCAGATCTTTAAAATCACCTGATCATATGTGAACATATGCACGTCACAAATCATTCTCCAATTGTTCTTCTTTCTTCCTCCCCCACACACGCATGTATGTATATATCTATTTATAGTTAATTATTATTTGAGCTTAGTTGAATACAGTAAAGGAAAAACAAGTTTGAGGCACCCAATACTTCACAACAAGACGGCCGTATATCTGTATGTATGCATATAGCTATGCCTACTAATAGTATATATATATATATATATATATATATATATATATATATATATATATATATATATTTCAGACTTGCATTTCAAAATGTTACTCGTTTTTAACTGAATTTAAATACTCAGCATAGTCAGAGTAAGGTCTGACCAAGCAAAAACATTGCTTTTGTTCAGTCAGTCCAGGTTTTTCAAATATGTCTATTTTAATAAAAAACAAACTTGTTTGTTCTTAAAATTGTCAGTTTTGGGGTGATGAAGAAGTGATAAACTTAGTGAAATAAGGTTAATAATGTTTAAAACAGGTAAGCCTCTGGTCCGGTTCACATCCTCCCCAGGCTTTTGAAAGGAGTAAAGGTTTATCCCTTGTTCTCGGATCCTTCTAAAGTCTACTTCAACTCTATACTTCTAACGTCTCTGTCTAAACTCTGAAAATTTATTTTTTTCCTCAATAGGAGAAGATAGGCTTGCCTATCGTCCGGTTCAAACTCATAGTCTTTTGAACAGTAGCGATTTATACCTTGTTTCCTGTTTAGGACAGGGTTACTGATTTCTTCTTTAGATATATTGATCAATATATGTACTGATCAGTGTTATCATGTCGTTGCAAGTATTCTGTTTGTGCCAGTCGGTCACACCCAGATATTATGTGGTCAATTGTTTCCGGATGTTCTCCACATAACTTTCAGGACATTACATTGTTAGTTCCTGGTTGAAAGGCACTGATCTTGGGTAGCAAGTCTGAATTTTTCTGGAATGATATGTTATCATTACTTACATTATTTACGTTTGGACTAATATCCTCATCTTTGATATTATCACAACGTTTCGGGAAATAGTCTAGTAGATTAAAGTGTTGGTTCATGTTTTAAGTCTTAAGGGAGGCACATTTCCTTTATTGAAACTTTCGATCGCTAGAACAGTAGACATTAATTTCACTGTTTAAAAGCAGGTATGTTCACTCAAACGCGTGTACTCACTTAATATACCGTTTATGGTAATAAAAATTAATTTCTTTTATTTTCTTTAATGAAAAAGTCTTTGTTCTCATAAAAGGGTTTCCTATTTTCTTTTTTAATTTGAAAAAAAAATTAACTGTCATTAAAGATTTATTATAATGAATTAATAAAAATATTTTAAAAAATTAGTTCTTCCATTACAACTGGTCTTTCACAAGTTTGGCATGCTGAATTAAAAAATGACCTTCAAATTAAATGATTGTAAAATCGACGAAGTAGTCTATTTTCCTGACATTGATTATCAAGTTAGTTCTCAGTTTTACAAATCTTTCAAAGATAAAAATAAAATATATATTTTTGAAACTTCATTTAAGGAAAATTAGTAAATTTAAAGTTTAATCTGATTTGAAAGAGATATTACTTCTTTTAGCACAAAAACATAGTAGAAAACTAAGAAAAACCTAACCACGGTGACTTGTTTTTCTGATGTGTTGATCGATTTATTTGACAGCCTGACATTTGGAAGTTAAGTAAAGAGGCACAGAATAAGTGACATAAATTTACGAATTATAAGAAAACGCGTCGTTTTTTTAATTTTTTTAACTTCTCAGCAATTTTTAAAAATTAATAAAATATTTTCAGCAGCCCAATATTTTATGAAATTTTAAATATCTTAGCTTTATAGCTTTACATTTGAAGATGCTTTCTGAAAAATTAATTAATAATAAAATTTAAATACTTAAAACATTTGAAAGGAAGTTTCTAAATGATACACAAATAAAAAAAACCAAAAAACTCCAAATGGAAAATGAATAAAAATTATAAAATAAATTTTATTTAGTAAGAATTGGATTTCATCTCGGTTATTTATTCTTCTTAATTGAAAATAAAAATATTAATTGAAGTATGACTGACGCTAAAAACAATAAGTATATAAAGTAAAAATATTTAGAATATAGGAATATAAAATATAACTTTACAATATTGAACGGATGATTTGCAAAGACTGTTAAGCATTGTAAAATACAGAAAAGAAATAAACGTTGCTCATAGCAGAAAAAGTTTATGAGACAACCGTTAACACACGTGACTTTGTAATGATAATGTGTTGTGGATTCCGGGATGAAATCCGGTCTCAAATGAATGACAAACGCAGGAATGAAATATAGCAAATAAATGTATTGACGTAATAATACAATTGGTCATACGGTTAGTAGATCCAGAAATGCGGTTAGTAGCAATAATAATATATATACAATCTGGAAAATTCAGTATCGAAGTAGGACTTCCTTCTGAGTCTACGTGCTCGCAACTGTGACTCCTACAAAGCGGTTACCTCACACTCTTACTCTCTCTATCGGGTATTCACCAGCAGCAGTGCAAATACACACTGGTCGAGTCCACTTGTATGAAAAAGGGGTGGACCCCATAACATAATGTCATATATGAACATATGGAATCCTCGATATTTGCCTGTCATCCCTGAGAGAAAATGCACTTTTCTCCCAAACCAACTTTAACCAATCATCATTTCACTTTTTCAAACTTGACTTCTCATTGGTTAAAAGGACCCAAAATATGTAGCAAGTTGCAACAAATCTGTTTTCCCGCTCACTTATCTGGAGCCAGTTTGAAAGCCCCAAAAATCAATAAATAGGATCGCTTCACTTGATTCAGGCAGTCAGTAACCTAGTTGTGCGAGATGGCAACAAACTCCACGCGCGCCAACACACTGACTCAACAACCATCATGCGCGCCGACATACTGACTCAGCAACCACCACTCTCTCTCTCAGCAACTCAACACAACCCACACAGCTATTGCCGTACGAAGATACTTAAATGACAATTGACTAAAAAAGTGACATTACCACTATGACATAGTAATTGTACATTTAATCAACCTCAGCATACCAGTCAGTAACTACGTCTTTGAGAGATGCCAACAACCTCCACGTGCGCTAGAACAGTAACTCAACAACCGCCACTCTCTCTCAACAGCTCAACACAACCCAGAAAGTCTTGCCGCGCGAATTGACCCAACTTACAATTTACAAAAAAAAGTGACATTATCACTACCGAAGTAGTAATTGTATTTAGTCAATTTACCATATCAATCAAAGCACATAATTCCTTATGACTTTAAACAATATTTAAAATTGTCGCACACATACACATTAATATCTGAACAAGTGACATTTCACCTTGCAGAAAGCAAACTGTTTTAATTTCATAGACAAACCTTAACTACAAGCTTTCATACACCAAATCACTGCATAGTCACTCCTTACAAATTTATCTCACTTATCACATTGAACAAGCAATCTTAAAATTCACTTGTGTATATCAAACGTATATAAATGCATGTAATTTGTTGAAATCTATAACTACGTTGTTTCTCTTTGACTTCTTCTAATTGAATTGCCTTCAAATGTTTGTTTATTTTATTTGCTGTGTTTAACGAATACGCACATTTTTTAAGCCTTTACATAATTACACCTTCTGATACATCCAATTAGCTCAAATTCCGCAACAAACATCAATATTTACAGAAATCGGCAAGTTTGTTCACATACAAAAATTCAAAATTCTATTAAAAATTATGGTGTTTGATCAATTGTACTAGCTTCTCAATTTATGATTAGCAAATATAATTTTCACTTAATAATATCATCTAAAAGATAATTTTAAGATTCAAAAATGAAAACTTAATAAGTTATTCTAATCTATATTATTTTTAAAAAGTTAGTCTTTTGTTTCCTTGGTTTGTCGTAAAGTTTGATTGGTTGACAGAAGGAAAGAGAAAAGCAAAGAACAGGGTACAAGACGGCCGTGTAAGTAGATTTACTGTTATATTTAATAACATAAGTAATTAAACTGTGATCTTCGCTCTTACGAAATTCAAAAATGTCTACTGTTAAATTAGCTACTGGATATGTATGTCAGGTACGTGTGAATAGAGTAACTGTTGTATTTGATGTACAACTTAACTTTTGTTAAGAATATTATCCATGCTTAAGGGATTGCTTTAAACTAATGTTTTGTCATGTTTATTCGCTTTAAATTTGCTATTTATTTGATTAAACTGATTAAATTTCTACTATTTAATTGAACTGATTAAAATTTACTCCGCCCATGGTGTAATAACACAGCATCACCTTTGACATGTGGGCATGAACACTATTAATGCGCCCCACTTTTAGCGTCTTATTTGGTGTAAACTACGTCTTTAGTGTTTACTCACTTCCCCTCTGCCCCTTATTGCCTCCCACGATCATAATGCCCACATTTTCCATCACCATATTCCTTAATACATTTTGCGCATTGTCTGATAATAATGGGAGGACTGCAAATACAACCTTTGACCTGTGCGTGTAATACACTAATAATGCCCCCATTCAGCCCCTTAATTCGTATGAACG